CACTCTTAACTAACTTTCATTAAACTACCAAATAAACAAACTGATACTCTCTCTCTTAATGACCAGACACGTGGCAGCACTTCTGCTATAATTTTGTTTGTATTTAACAAAATTAAAATGCAGAAATAAGTGTATGCATTAGTTTTGGACTACTAGTGAAAATAGTTTTCTTTACAAATAACTCTCTCACTGAACTAACACAGCCAGTCCCTCAACATGTTTGGGCTCTCTGCTCATATTGCCTTTATATTAAATAATGTTTTGCTTTTTAAAGAACCTTTTTTAATATTGCTTTCAACAAAAAACAAATTCTCCCTAACAAAAGAAAAAAAGTAACTTCAAAGGCCAAATTGCATTATATTTCTTCATGTCAATATACGGCCTGCAAGCAGGGATGACGTGGGCCATAAGTGGACCCCAGGCCACGGGTTTGAGACCCGTGTCTTAGAGCATCACTAACCTCCTCCGCTGTCTCCACTGTAGGCCAGTTCTGATCGTCACAGCCATTAACCAGCAGCATCGGGCAGTTAATTCTCCCCACCTGTCAACAAAGCAGATTTAAAAATCCCACAGGAACTAAGAGGTCCAACTCAGGCGTGGAGAGGTCATTAGGTCTACTGATAGTATAATGCAGTATAATACAGCACTCACTTCCACGTTGTTTGAGGGGTCAGCGATAAGATCCAGAGCAAAACTTCTCCAGCTCATATAGTTGTTCTCATCGAAATGTGCCTTGTGAAAATGCCTATGATACATATTAGTAACAATAATTTGTATTATCATTAAATTTTCATGACAAACAGTCAACAGTACGTACTTGCTTAGTATTTTAAACCCGGCCTTCAGGGTGGTCCCAGGTGGGTGATAGTGATTGCTGCTGATGCAAACAATGCAGCGAGGCTGGAACACAATGATAAATCAAAACATTTGATGTTGCACATTGAATTAAAAGACCCAAAGACCAGCTTCCAACTTAGTTTTCAACAAAACATGGAATGTTTAAACCTCCTGGAATTGCCATTTTGACCATCTGCATTGAAGGTCTCTTTTATGTGCTTATTTTTGTCATACTGAAAAATGTAAATGTACATCTTTTTTTCTCAATTGCACAAAGTTAGCAGAACCCATATAGACACATTAATGGAAAATACTAAGCTGCACTTCAACCAAAAACTTTTCCACTCTTTTCCAACTGGGAACACAGCTGTGAACGGTCCCAGTGCAAGCTGGAGGTCATCAGGTGATGAAGCCAGAAGAACCACGTCACCTGCAAAAACCAGATGTGATCCTGACACCACTAAAAGGGAGTATGCCTGCCACTTGGTTCCACCTAGAATTTCTGTCCCATAAATTGAGACCAGAATTTGTGATAAAAGGCAGACCTGACTGACTTCAGGTCAAACTCTGAGTGAGTCCAACTTATTGTTGGAAAAAAAAAACACCAAGCTCTCATTACAGTTGGGCAAGGACTGAACAGCCTGCAACAATCAGACAGAGATCCCAACCTCCTCAGGACATCCCAGGGCATATCCTCTCTAAGTCTACGAAACATGCAGACTGGTTGCGCAAACTCCCACAGACCCTCAAATGTCTTTAAGAGGATAAAGAGCTGGTCCACCCCAGGTTGACCTCTCCACGAGTTGTGAGCGAGTCGTCCCCCTCATTATCCGCCTCTGTTTTCTCTAAAGAAGGCGAGTAGGTGTGATTGAGATGACTGTTGAAATACTCCTTCGACTCCCGGACTGGGTCTCATGCATACTGTACACAGAGTGAGTACAGCATTGCTTCCCCTACTTGAGACACCTGATGGTTTTCTGGAACTGCTTCAAGACCAGTTGAAAGTTTTCCTCCATGGCTTCTAGGGCTGCACTCTGCTTGGCCTGCCAGCACCTGTTAGCTGCAGCAAGAGTTCTGGAAGATATCCAAGCTCGATAGCACTCTGTGGTGGTGCGTGGTCTGTGGTCCATGCGGATGGATGTAAAAATAAAGATGGCTCAAAACACGGATCTGTGGTCCTGTCGTGCCTTAACCCCACCACACTGGTGCCGAAACCCAGGATGCGGCATGACAGGCCCACAACAGAGCCAGGGAAGGGAGGAGCTGTCCCAGATGATCGCTGGCACGGCGGCTATCCAGCGGGAGCAGGCGGTGGAGGTGTGTCACCAGCAGGAAGAGCTGTGGGAACAGACCGAGCGCCACCTGAAAAGATGCCCCTGGGCACCACCTTGCGCGGAGCAGTGGAGCAGCTGCTCCAGCCAGAGACGATGGAGGAACTGCGCGGGGAGACGGAGGTCCCCGTGTTAGGGGGACCTGCACGACCTGGGGCCGAGAGCGAGACACGGGCTGATGCCGGTCCAGCCGGCAGGGAGCAGGTGCTCACGGCTGTGCCTGCACGGTCATGCCAGTTCGCCAGGTGGCTGACCGCCGGGCCAGCGTTGCTGCTATAAGTGTGGCCGGCCTCCGGACCAGCATTGCCATCACCGCAGGAGACTTGGGCGGCCTCAGCAAAAGACACTGCCCTGTCGTTGGGTTGAGGCCGGTGGAGCGGGGGAAGTAGGTAGGTTCAGCTGGATGGCTCCCTGGCCTCAGTCGAGCGATGGGCGATGGGGTGTGTGGTGGGGCGTGGTCTGTGGTGCCTTGTGGACGCACCTGCAGATCACGCCTGCGGTGTTAAATCACGGGGAAGCAGGATTGAGAGGGTTGTTGTGGTGGTGGGACAAATGTAAAAATAAACATGGCTCAAAACACGGATCTGTGGTTCCGTCATGCCTTAATTCCACCACATACTCGTTCTCCAGCTCAATGGATTCCTTCCTCTCTGGTGTAAATCTGGTTCTGAGGAAACCACTATGACTGGTGCCAATGATTTTATGGGCAAAACTCTGTACAAATATCTTGGCAGTGACAATAAATGGAACATGGTCCACTCAGACTCTCTCAGACTCTGTATCCCCAGCCTCCCTCTGGATGTTGTTTAAGTTCTATCAGAGGTAGAAATTCAAGATCTTGAAGACTAGGGCCTTAGCTACATGCTTGCAACACACATTCAATATACAGGGAGCGCAGAATTATTAGGCAAGTTGTATTTTTGAGGAATAATTTTATTATTGAACAACAACCATGTTCTCAATGAACCCAAAAAACTCATTAATATCAAAGCTGAATGTTTTTGGAAGTAGTTTTTCGTTTGTTTTTAGTTTTAGCTATTTTAGGGGGATATTTGTGTGTGCAGGTGACTATTACTTAACATCTCCACATTCACAAATATACATTTCTGACATTCAAAAACAAAACAAAAACAAATCAGCGACCAATATAGCCACCTTTCTTTGCAAGGACACTCAAAAGCCTGTCATCCATGGATTCTGTCAGTGTTTTGATCTGTTCACCATCAACATTGCGTGCAGCAGCAACCACAGCCTCCCAGACACTGTTCAGAGAGGTGTACTGTTTTCCCTCCTTGTAAATCTCACATTTGATGATGGACCACAGGTTCTCAATGGGGTTCAGATCAGGTGAACAAGGTGGCCATGTCATTAGTTTTTCTTCTTTTATACCCTTTCTTGCCAGCCACGCTGTGGAGTACTTGGACGCGTGTGATGGAGCATTGTCCTGCATGGAAATCATGTTTTTCTTGAATGATGCAGACTTCTTCCTGTACCACTGCTTGAAGAAGGTGTCTTCCAGAAACTGGCAGTAGGACTGGGAGTTGAGCTTGACTCCATCCTCAACCCGAAAAGGCCCCACAAGCTCATCTTTGATGATACCAGCCCAAACCAGTACTCCACCTCCACCTTGCTGGCGTCTGAGTCGGACTGGAGCTCTCTGCCCTTTACCAATCCAGCCACGGGCCCATCCATCTGGCCCATCAAGACTCACTCATTTCATCAGTCCATAAAACCTTAGAAAAACCAGTCTTGAGATATTTCTTGGCCCAGTCTTGACGTTTCAGCTTGTGTGTCTTGTTCAGTGGTGGTCGTCTTTCAGCCTTTCTTACCTTGGCCATGTCTCTGAGTATTGCACACCTTGTGCTTTTGGGCACTCCAGTGATGTTGCAGCTCTGAAATATGGCCAAACTGGTGGCAAGTGGCATCTTGGCAGCTGCACGCTTGACTTTTCTCAGTTCATGGGCAGTTATTTTGCGCCTTGGTTTTTCCACACGCTTCTTGCGACCCTATTGACTATTTTGAATGAAACGCTTGATTGTTCGATGATCACGCTTCAGAAGCTTTGCAATTTTGAGACTGCTGCATCCCTCTGCAAGATATCTCACTATTTTTGACTTTTCTGAGCCTGTCAAGTCCTTCTTTTGACCCATTTTGCCAAAGGAAAGGACGTTGCCTAATAATTATGCACACCTGATATAGGGTGTTGATGTTATTAGACCACACCCCTTCTCATTACAGAGATGCACATCACTTAATATGCTTAATTGGTAGTAGGCTTTCAAGCCTATACAGCTTGGAGTAAGACAACATGCATGAAGAGGATGATGTGGACAAAATACTCATTTGCCTAATAATTCTGCACTCCCTGTATGTTTGGGCAGGCCAGGTCCATCAAGCATCGTCACTTTACACCTCATCTGCCCACATAAGTGCCAAATTCACCCAGTAGGACAATGGAGTGCCAAGATGGAGCACATTCCAGCACCTTATCCACCAGTCTAAGAAAAATTGTTATTAGGTGCAAACAGCAGTCAGGACCCACTAAACCGAGTAGAAAATAGTATACCCACACCTGCATGCTGCCTCTCACCAAGGGCAACTCCATAGTGAAAGAGTCGAGACCCTCTTCAGGATGCTAAAGACGGTCTCATTTCTGACTTTTCTGGTGGTTAAGAAGTTCAGGCTCCTTTCCTAACAGAGAAGCCACATCCTAAGTACCTACAGCCAGACTTTTCAAGTGGCGATCAGACCACCGGGGCCCTCACGCCTGACAGCCACCAAATCCACAGGACACCAAACTGTTACGAGAGACTGACAGTTTCATCACTGTCAATCCACAATATCACTGCATCAAAAAGGAAGGAAATCTTACCCACCACGTTTACCTTAATAATGGTGCTGTAGGCTGTTAAGTTGAAGGCCACCATGGAGCCCAGGGAAATACCAAGAATTCCAACTCTGTCTGGTATCACTTGAGGATGGTTCCTAATAATGTTAAATGCTGTCTAATAGGAGAGTGATACTGGAAATTAATGAGATATTAAAACAAGGTTTTAATATGTATAAATTTACATTGTTTTAAAAAGTGTTACATGTCTAAAACGATAACTCAATATGAAGAATATGAACGAAATTGGAGTTAATTGAAAAAGGATCCGTTATTTTTTGCCTCATTTTATTCTATTTACTTATCTTTTCTCCTTGTTACTATGTGAAGTGGTATATTGCTGATTGTAAATTTGTTGTTTGGTTTGCGTTAGAACCGGAGATAAATGTTAGTTTGTTCCTTGATTTTTGGTGCCCACTTGTAATATAAATTGGATTGCAGATAGGGGGCAGGGTTTAAAAAGAATATTTTCTTCTTCCTGCTCCTTTTCAGGCATAGTTGCAGTGCTATACCGAGAGAAAGTGTGGTTGGTTTGTCTGAAAGAATTCTGTGGAAACTGTTGAACCAAGTGTGAAATAAATGAAATGTGTTAGATATTACGGCATTGAAGAAAAATT